GTTTTTGGAGTTCCTCTGGCAGTTGTCTTCCTTCCGCAGTGGGTGACATTCTTCTTAGTGTCGACTCTCCCATTTTCTTCGTCAGCTCTGTGGAAGAAATCATTTGTGGGTCATTCCAGTTCAGATTATCTAACATGTCCCTCATGTATTAAAACCCATCTACTCAGTACTTTTGGATACCGTCTTAAGTTCTGTGAGATGAATCTGCAGGTTGAAGCCTAGAATCGGCTCCCGCCTTTAACAAGGTGGCTCCAGAGCAGTGAGAGCTTATAAATGTGGGAAGATTGAGTCCTTAGCTGAGTGAGAAGTAGATCTGAAGAGGCGCTGTATAAACGGCGTTAACTATAATGAGCACTGTATCCTAGACAAGAGTGTCACCAGCTAGTGGACCACACTGTTTCTAGTAGCCCAGTTAACTTACACAGATGCTGCTACAGTTTCAGGCTTGTGAATTGCCAGTCATGCCCAAAGGGAAAGTAGAAAACAAAACAAACCATTCACTAAATTGTGTCCTGTGCCTGAACATATTGCTTTTGGGAAATTGGATTTTCTGCACAAAAAAATCAGTGAAAAGACAGTGAAAGACAACCAGAACATAACCCCCCACCCTTGATTTGGTGAGTGTATCTAGGTGTGTTTTTGTGTATTTCCATGTTTTGGTTGCTGAAGGTAACTGCTTTTTCCCACTTGATAGAATGTTACTGTCTTGTAGGGTCATACTTGAGCATAGAGCAGATGAATCTGCTCTTGCAGAGGGACTTCCCTCCTGGAGACCCTCGACAGGAAGGTGGGTGGGTGTGTATACTGTGCGAGTCTGTGACCTTTTGTGTGATCCCAGGAAGACATGACTGGTCTGCAGGTGTGGTTAAGAGATGCATTTCCCTATTCACGAAGCTGAGCTGACAGCTCCTGGGAGTCAGTGCCATCCATGGCAAGCTCAGAGTGCCACAGCCCCCCAGAGCTGACGGATACAGAGGAGGAACTGTGTACCTGACTTGTTTTCACCAGAGACACTTGTTAGGTAGCCCCAGGGGTGCCCTTCCTGCCCCTTCAGTCACGTGTAGTTTGGGGCTAGGTTTTTACTTGTTGGTTACCCTGGCGAGCTCCTCTTTTGGCTGGTATTGTTGCTTAAGGTTCAGTATGAAATATAAAAACACCAACTGAAGACTGACACACAATTTAAGGAATTTGTATACATAAGGAAAGGAAGTTGAGCAAATAAAACCGAGTGTCATTCCTGTCTCCCAGGAGGTAACATTGTTTGAGTTTAATTACATTAGTTGACTCAGTAGAGATGCAGGACCAGCCGGCATTTCTGTGGGATGCCGACCTTACAGTACTCGAACACGTGGGAATCCTTGGTTCACCAAGGTGTCAGGTGATGAAGACCTCGCCCATCTCCACTGCTTTTGGACAGGGAGTTAAGAGATGAAGGTGCATTTCTGAAAACGACTTCTGCCTGTGACATTCAAAAGTAATCATGCTCTACTGTGTGGACTTGGTTTATATATGTCTGAAGTGTTATTAGAGTTGGCCCTCAGTTACTTACTAGGTGTGGAGGTGAAAAAAATTACAGGTGATTCATGCTGAAGTCAGAATCACATGAAAAATATGTGCTGAGGACTCTGGTATTTTTAATTCAAGGGGAAATGAAAATTAGTGGTTAGAATAAGTTTTATATCATCTAGGAAAAATGCGAGCAGGAAAGTACTTTATGTGTCTCTCTTGGTGAACGAGTCTCTTTTCTTTTAAAGAGACACTATTAGCAGGGCAGACCTTTGGTGGGTGTGTAAAGTAGGATCTGAGAACGGTCAGAGAGTCTGAAAATTTAATAGCAGGAATCTGGAAGTTGCAGAGATGCACTGTTCACGCCTGCAGGGTTTGCAGAGTCTTCACTTAGTTTTCAGCACTTAACACTGCTGCTGTGGGTCTTCCAGGACACCACAGTGAGGGGTGGGATCTAGAGACACACCACCCCGAATGTATTTCATAAGATCTGAAAGTTGGAACCAGGATATAGCAGGCTTTCTTGGGGCCACCATCCAACTCCCAAATAAGGACTTAGAGACTCAATATTAGTTATGAATGCTCAGCCTTATCTTATTCTCGTCCTACTAGCTCTTATAACTTAATTTAACCTGTTTCTCTTTATTTACATTTTGCCTGAGGGCTTTTTAACCTTTCTTTCACTCTTTATGTTCTGCTTTTCCTGTTTCTTCCATGTCTGGTTGGCTGGAGGCTGTCTGGCTGGTTGGCCCCAGGTGTCTCCATCTTTCTCTCTCCCTCGTCCTCTTCTTTCTTCTAAATCCCTCCTATTTATTCTCTCTGCCCACCAGCCCTGCCTATCCATCTGTTGCCTAGTTATTGGCCTGTTCAACTTTTTATTAGACCAATCAGGTGCCCTAGGCAGGCAAAGCAACACACCTTAAAGTAATTAAACAAATGCAGCACACCTTTACATAAAGTAATATTCTGCAACAGAAACAAATGTAATACATTCTTTGCAGAGTTAAAGTAATATTCCACAACACCAGGAAATAGGACAAAACCCTGATGAAGGTGGGGACTGAACCCTAAATTGCAATGAGTGACCTCTTCTTGTCCTTCCCAGGGAATTAATTTCATGTGCTCAGTACCTCTCAACACTTTGTCTCTAGGTCTGTGGCTAGAAGCCCCAGTTAGCCCATAAAGGGAGGACATGTGAGGACATGCCATGCTCTGAAAGGACTGTGTGAGCTTCATGTTGTCTGCAGACAGAAGTCTTAGGTGTGCATGTTGGAATTGATAGCCAGGGTGTGGCCCGACAGGGAAAGAAAGTTAGATCAGAGTGAATTCATTGACATACGTGCGTTAAGTAGAGATTCTGCACTTGAACTTGGGGGGTTATGAAGAACTGTGTTGCTAGACCCCTACCTCCCCAAGATAACTGCAACATGGCCCCAAATGCAGTTTCTAGAGCAGACTGGGAAGACTGTACCTGCTATGGTGTGATGGCCTAGTTGGGATCTGCAGGCTTAGGGAGATGGGAACCTGAGCCTGTTTGTTATTTAATATTCACTCACTAGCCGGGCGTTGGTGGCACACACCTTTAGTCCAAGCACTCGGGAGGCAGAGGCAGGCGGATCTCTCTGAGTTCGAGACCAGCCTGGTCTACAAGAGCTAGTTCCAGGACAGCCTCCAAAGCCACAGAGAAACCCTGTCTCGAAAACCCAGGAAAAAAAAAGAAAAATTCACTCACTGAGGTTGGGAGTGACGGCACATACCATCCTAGCTTGTGGGATGGTGAAAAATTCAGTCATCGTGGGATACAGAGGGCCAGCCCAGGCTACACGAGATGCCGCCTTATGAAAAGATCTACTCACTGAAATTGTTGGGAATACATTTTTTTTTGGGCGGGGGAGCCCGGGCATCCTGGAAGAACTCTTGGTGGTGTACTTTAAGGACAGAACTTATCATGGGAATTGTAGCCATTGAATCTGGGAACCTGAACACCGAGCACTCTGCTGTCAAAAGACGAGCTGTGAGGAGTTGGGCATGTGCAGCAGAGCCAAACAGACAGAGTAGTTTGGCTTCTGCAGACCTGTGGCCTGTCTCACTGATTTCGGTGTTCCCAGAAGTAGAATAAAGAATTGATCTGCATAAGCAGAAAGTTTAAGGTCAGGTGAAATAAGTTCCAAGCAGAATAATAAAAGAGCATCGTAGCCCTCAGCTACTCCTAGGCCTGAGCAGTTTACAGCTTCTAAATGAAGGGCAGGCTGGGTCCCCTTCAGCAGTAGCCCTCCAGCACCCATCAAAATTTATGCTTTGATTTCCACCCCCAGCCTTTCCAAGGGACCAGTGGTCTTTTACCAGGGCAGCTGTGCTCTGGGTAAAGGACATAATCACAGCTTTGGGGGTGCAGGGACTACTGGATGCTGATAGTTTGAGAGACTCAAAATGTCATTGTGTTGGCTTTGGTTGTTTCCAGTGGGGCTTGTGGGTCACCAAACTCATCCTCTGTTTCTCTCCCCAATTTTGGAATACTCAAGTGCAGTAGTCATAGAAGCCTTGGTTTGGACTCTCAATCTGTGGACCCCACCCCTTGTTTGGGCCAATGGAAAGAGCCCTTGCAGGGGTGAAGCCTTGTTGAAGATAGTACATTCAAAGCAGCATCTCATCTCAGGAGGCCTTTTAAATCAGTGCATCACTAATGACTTCAAAGACTTAAGAGAGCAGTGATGGGTACCACATCCTAGTCACCTCTCCCATTTGTCTGATGCAACAGAGAAACCATCTTTCAGGATGGGGTTTTCCAAGTAATCCACACACTAGAGCAGAGAACTTCACCCTTTCGTGTTCCTATGTCGTCACCAGTACCCATCACCAAAATAAAAGGAATGTACTTGTTATTAGGCCATTGAGGTACAAGTAAGTTCCAGGAAGAAATGGTCCTAATACCTACCGTGCCTACCTCGACATTCTTGCTCCCTGACCCCCATGGCCTGCACCTATGGTTTGATGGGGGAGTTTCCTGATCCTTTGACAGAGGAAGAAATGAGTAAGGCCCGATATGTGCAATACTCAGGCTCCACCCCCACGTGGTCATCTGTTGTTTGCATGGATCCCTTTTGGGACTCTCCTGGGTATTGGTTCTGGGGAATCCTCCCGGAAGCAGAGCTGTGAGCTGTGTAGTAGCAACTCTCTTTGCCCAGAAGGAAAAGGGCTGGCGTGTGTATACAGACTGATTTACGGTAAGCTGTGGCCAGTGTCTGGCTAGGCGGTCTGTGGTGTATGGAGAACAGGGTTAGAAAACTGATGGTAGGAGCCCTGGGAAAGACGTGTGCTAATGGACAAGAATGGCCAAGCATCCCGAAGGCATCTGTGCCCCAAGTGCTTGCTCACCAGGGGTGATGTCAGCAGAGATCATGGTGATGCGGATTGGGGGGGGTCTGTTTTCTGGTCAGCTGATGGGGGATGTCCTTCTGTATATATGTTTCTCATATTGGCTGATGAATAAAACACTGTTTGGCTAACGAAGGCAGGAAGATTGGCGGGACCAGGAGACAAGGAGAATTCTGGGAAAGGTAGGCGGAGAGAGACCTGAAGGAGTTGCCAAGTAGCTGCCAGAGGAGAAACAGATCCAGACATTCTCCAGTAAGCCAAGACCACGTGAAAACACATAGATTAGTAGTTATGGGTTAATACTTAAGACACAGTTAGCCAACCAAAAGCCCTACCCATAGGCTAACAGTTTAATTAATAATTAATATAGCCTCTGTGTGTTTATTCGGCGCTGAGAAGGCAGGCGGGAGCTGGCGGGACAAGAAAAACCTCTGTGACAATCTGCTATCCTTCCAGGGGCAAATCCATACGCGGTGTCAGCCCGCCTCCCCCTCTGCATCCATGGTGCTTCAGCCATCCCGAAAGAGATTGACGCCTGTTGTCCTGATGCTATGGATTCCCACTCACTAAGGCTGACCTGCGTGTGCCCACTGCTCAATGTGCAGGATGCCAGCAGTACCCACCAATATGGAGGCCTCAATGCAGTGCTGTTCCCTAGGATGACCAGCCAGCTGCCTAATGGCAGGGTGGTTCCATTGGGGCACTTATGGAAAGGGCAGAGTTGTGTTCTTACCGTCACACGGATGTTCTTCCCTACACGCAGTTATGTGCAGACTGCCATCCATGGGTCACAGAGTTCCTTAACCACTACTGTGATGTCCTGTACAGATCTGTGGGTCAGTGAACCTGTTTCATGGTAATCGAGGAACTCAGGTCACAACCACAGGAGCGTGGCATTGGTCCCAAGTTTATGAGGTTCACTGACTTTACCATTTTCCATGCTTTCCAGAATCATAGTGGAGTGGTCTTTTGGAGACTCAGTTACAATGCCAGTTTGGTGGCTGAACCTTGAAGGGCCCAGGCAGGATTCCCCAGGAATCTGCACTGCTCATTGTCAGCACCTAGTGTGTGGTGCTGTCTCTGCCCTTGTGAGGGTTCAGAGGGTCCTGGAATCAAAGATGGGGATGGTCTTGGCTACTATGTTAATGACCATTAGCAAGACTTCTGTGTCCTGTTCCCTAGGGGTTCCCGGGACAGGAACTGCTAACTGCATAGACTCTTAAGGCTTGCTTCCGGCCACTTCAGGAGCAAGTGACTCTCCCTGTCTCTGAATCAGTAAGCAAAGGAGAGACTGTGCCTGCCTGGGTGATTCCTGTCCAGTAGAAAGCGAACTGCTGTTCTGCACTGGAGGCACAGAGAGTCAGGGTCCAGGCAACCCTCTAGGGTTGGCTGCTCTTCATACTGCCGAGCTCAGTGGGTAAGGTTTGCAGAAACTGGCACTTTAGAAGCAGGGATTAGGGTTGTCCTGGTGGGTAAGTAGTCACAGCCAGCTGAAAGCAGTTGCTGACAGCAAAGGGACTGTGAATGGGTAGTGAAGATGGTGACCGCCAATACAGGCTGTGAGCAGGTGGCCAGACATGGGCAAGAGCTACAGCTGCACGTGAGTTTTCTTACCAGTCGGTGATACATGTAAAGCGGGTATCTTTGCTTTCTTTTGTTTCTCACTGTGTAACATGAGATACTTTTACTTTACTTCCTAGTATTGAAGTCTTTTTGGTGCTATAATTTAAGTTACTGGAGCCCAAGGACCAGAAGAATGGACATCAGTCAGGGATTTATCCTTCTCTTTTGAGAGAGGAGTGAATGTGCTCCAGGTCCTGTGCAAACGGTTGCATTGTGGTGTGCGGGAGACGGAGTATGGCCTAGGAGAGTGCGTACAGGTGTCTATGAATGGTCCAGGAGAGTGTATACAGGTGACTATGAATGGCCTAGGAGAGTGCATACAGCTGGCTATGTATGACTCAGGAGAGTGTATACAGGTAGCTTTGAGTGATCCAGGAGAGTGTATTCAGGTGACTATGAATGGTCCAGGAGAGTGTATACAGGTGACTATGAATGTCTCAGGAGAGTGTATACAGGTGGCAGGCTGTATTAGTGCGTAGTGTTGGAAGTTGACTGGGCCGTGGGCTATCCTGACACAGGGTCCCCCATTATTCTGGGTGTGTCTGGCGGTGTTTTTGAATAACTGTTGCCCTCCCTGGTAAGAGTGGACCTCATGCAGTTAATGGAGAATCTGAGTAAGATGACTGCTGCCTCAGAGGAGACGCGGTGTTCCCCACTGACGGACTCCTCTGTTCCCCACTGACGGACTCCTCTGTTCCCCACTGACGGGCTCCTCTGTTCCCTACTGACGGGCTCCTCTGTTTCCCACTGACGGGCTCTTCTGCGATGTTTTCTGTACTCAGATTTCTCAAGCCTTCACTGCCATCTCTCCAGGTTCTTGGACTTCATGATCATGTGAGCCAGTCTGTAGTCAGTCTCTCTCTTTCTGTCTCTCTGTTCCCCCACTCCGTACTCCTTGTCTGGAGACCCTTGATTTCTGGGGTGAATTTATTCTGTCCTTTTACACCTTTTGAGGAGAACTCTTAGGCTGGTCATGGAATTCTCATTACTTTCTAAATGGAGCACAGGTTAGTATATCTGTTCATTGCCTTCAAACACTCTGTTCTCCATCGTCAACGGACTCTCCCATTTTAGATTCTTCACTGTGCAGCGCCTTCTGATTTCCTTATAATTTATGATGAGTTGTTTAGAAGTATGTTATTTTTTGAGTCATTTGAGAACTTGCCAAATTTCATGCTTATTGATTTTTAATGTGTTTCGGCTATGGTGGTGAGGACCTTTTGCTTGACATCAATTTTCCAAATCACTTTGAAACTCATGTGGCTCAGAATATCATCTGGCTTTGAATATTGTGTATATATTCGAAGGCCTAATCTGACCTTTGTTTGGTAGAGTCCACTCCCAAGGAATGTTGGTTGTATCAGGGTATTGATGATAGTGTTTGCCATCTATATGTTTATTGATTTTTTCCCCCTCCATATTTAACTGACTACCAAGAGAAGTATTAACCTTTATCCGTGATTACGGACTTGCCCATCTTGCCAGTTCTGCTGTTTAGATGTACTTGCCTTCATGGACGTCATTATCTTCCTGATTAGCTTCTGTCTAGTAACTGTTCTTTGATCTGGTCTAATTCATCTAATATTTACATACCACCTCAGGTTTCTTTTGAGAAATGCTTGCGTGGTGTTAGTTCCTTAGCCGTTAACTCCATCTCCTTTCCTCTATAAGATGCTGACTCTACATTGTAAGTCTGTAGTCCACAGTGCTCAGTTGGTCGGATCAGCTGTACTCCAGGCAGTTAGCACTCTGGTTGAATCTGAATACCATTTACTAGTTGTTTTCTGTGTCACATTGGGCCTCTTTACCTCCTTTTCCTGGCTCAGAGTGTGCTTGAGTTTTTTTCCTTAATAATTCCATTTTATGCCTGTTAGAGGCTGACTGACATATCTTTGCTAATTATTAAGTGATACAGATGTCTATAGTGTATACATTTAAACTTACGCTGCATATGTTTAGTGCATAGTAAAGTTACTTTCTAAAATACTGTCGGTCCATCTTTTTGAGATAGTGATATACAGTTCCACAATCTTCAAAACTTTGTTTTATGAGTCAACAGTGCATTTTTATTTTTGCCTTATAAAGCCAGTTACATTTAGAGTGTTTCTGTCTGCCAGGTTTAACATTCTGGCATTCCTAGCTCTGTTAGTTCTGTTTTGTGAGGTCCATGTTTCAGTCTGGTTTTATTTTTCTTCCTGGAGAAATGTCTGTGTGCTAAGTGCAGATCTGTGGCAGATAATTCTTCCCCATTTTCTGTCTGATTGAAGATATTTCCTTCAAGAATTCTACGCTGCCAGTATATTTCCCCCTTAAGGTTAGCAGACATTTAGTCACTGTGACAAACACCTGGAGAGTGACATGGAGTGAGAAAGGCTCTGTTCTGGCTCGTGGTTTCAGTGTGTGCTTGGTGTGTGACATTGCTGTGGAACTCTGCTGATGCATGTCATCCTGGTGGCAGGAATGCACAGTGGAGCGCCTCTTGGTGGACAGGAACCAAAGAGCACATGCCTGTGCTTGCAAGCTGGGGTGTGCCTCCCAAACCCCTAAGTACACATTCTGAGTGTCCTTGGCGTTTTCCAACTCAGTCAGGTTGACTCAAGACCAACTGTCACACGTGAGCATGACACCTTGTCATCGGCTTTTGGCTCATGTGGGTTTTGGCAAGAAGTCTGCTTTTATTCTCACTTTAATTCTTTGGTATGTAACGTATCCCTTTTCTGGATTATTTAAAATGTTGTATTTTCTGTAATTAGACTGTGGCACACACTGCAGGCCCGAGCCTTGTGGATCTCACGTTGTTTGGACTTTTCATTTTGTGTCTTGGCGATTTTGGAAAGGCTGTCAGTCACACACGCTCCGGGTTGTTTGAACTTGGTGCCTCCTCTCCACCTCCTCGGATGTCCACTGTTGCCGGTTCTGTCCTCACGGTCTGCTGTGTGCTTCTCTGATGGTAGTGTCTTCCTGGTGTTTCCTTTTGGTTCTCCCTGCAGAGGTTCCGTTCCCTGGGCATCCCTCAGTTCTACCTCAGCTCTCGTCTTTCTTTCTTAAAGGAACAGAGCGTACTTGCTGTGGTCTCTGGCTTTGTGTGGGCTTTTTGTGATGAAGCTGCAGCCATGACAGTTGTACTGGTGATTCTCATCACTGGAAAGGAGTCTCCCCAGGTGTGGGCAGCCGAGTGGGCCCCTCTCTCGGCAGCTGTGAGTTGCCAAAAGCAGCTGTGGCGATGACAGCTGAAGATTTGCTGAAGATGTTGCATGATTGACAGAGCTCTGCAGGCCTGTGGGAGAATAGCAGGCCTGACTGGCCCGATTGTCCGGAGTGGCCCCAGTATCATTCCACACACCCAACACTGGTCTCCAGTTCTTTTATGGAGCTTGAGAATATCCCTTCCTCTTGCTGTAGGGCAATGACTGCTGGCACAGAGAAGGGTCTAACAGCTGTCCATCAAACAGCTGAACTGTGTGTGGTCTACAGCGTCATCCATTAAACGTTAACATGAAGTGACATGAAGGAGTACTTGCAGTGAAGGGTTAACCTGAGATGAGCACCTTTTAATGACCTTATCTAACAGTACTTAGTACGCAGCCCATAATTGCAGAACACTCATCTGTCTGCAGTTCCTAAGCTTGGGTCGCTGACCGTGCAAGTTCAGACTGCCTGGTAAGAGCCTCCCTCAGCGCAGTGGCTCCTCTGTGCTCCAGCCTGAGCTCTGGCCTCAGAGCTCCGGTCTGCTTTGTAAGCTTGGCAGTTATATTGCTAACTTGTTTGTGCTTCCTCTTTGAATGGATGGATACTCCAGGGTCCAAAGAGTTAACCTACTGCTGTGTAGACAACATGCATTTTAATATTACATCCCTTATTGCTTGATGCTTAATACATTAATGTGTATTTTATGAAAAGCCAGTCTCTTTCTTTAGCCTGCCATTACATTTTTATATAAAACAAGTGCTCCGAGAGGGCAGGAAACGTCTTATTTGTAGAGCACTGCCTCACACACATAGGGTACTAGGTTTAGTTTCCAGCACAAAAACAAACAAAAAAGGAAACGAAGCAAGACAAAACAGAATTCACCCTCTGCATGTGCTCTTTGCCTTACTCTCCGCCTCTGCTGGCCCTGCTTGGTCTCACAGAGCTTTCTGGCTTTTATGTCTGTGGTAGCCAGCATACTCAGCCTCAGGAGGGTTGATTTCCCTTCACGTGAAGATCGCTTGTGTGCAGGGTGTGTGCTCTCATGGTAGTGACAGGTCCCCTCCAGCTGAAGAAGCGAGTCGTCTCACCTCTGCCTCTTCTTAGGTCTGTGTTCTACCTCACCAAGTGGACAAGCCAGGCTTCCGGTCTGTGGCCTCATCTCTTTCACTGGGTTAGAGCTGTAGTTTATAACTACACTTATGTGTGGATGGGTCTTACTGGGTCCAAGGGTTTGTTCAAGTGTAGCAAAGCCACTGGAAATGTGGTCTGTGAAGGAAGGGGCTGGAGATGCTCAGGTTAAAATGGTTTCTTCTGGAAACATCTTTTTTTTTTTCCCATTCTTCCTCTATTTCCTCTGCAACTCTCTTTAAAGTTACACAGGCTCTGAAAATTGAGCTCCCATGGAGCCAGAAGGAGGGAAAAACCTCTACTTCTATGCACTGTGTCAGGAACTTGCAAGATTGGTGAAGGAGGGTGCACAGGAACTCGTGACTTGTGGCTTTGTGAGTGTGGCTGTATTTTCTTGAGCTCTGAACTCTTGAGCGGAGAGGGTGCCAACTCCAGAGTAAGCTTGCATTTGCTGTCACTGTGTCTAGTGTCTGTCTGATTTCTGCCCGTGAAAGGACTTTTGTGTAAACTTTACTTTCATCCCCAAGCAGCGTTGTGTCCCAGAGGAGCCTTGGCTCCCACTTCCTTTGGCTTCCTTGTCTGGTTCCCCCCACTTGTTGGGTGTACCTGTCACAGTGTCCAGCAGCTACCCAGGCTTCTAGTGTTGCAGTGTCCAGCAGGTACCCCATCCCCCTCTTTTCCCTGTTTCTTGAACAGTAAGTTTCTCTGTTTACTCCTTCCTCTGTTTGAATGTACCTAAAAATGTAATTTTTGCCAGTCTCTTGCGCAATTTCTCTAATGCCGCCACCACCACTGTTGATGATGATGTTAGTGTATCAGGACCAGCCCTGCACATGAATCTTACATACCATTAACATTGCAAAAGAAATATACTGTGTTTTTGAGCCAAATCTTAAGCTTTATTTAGATGTTTACCGGGAAGAAAGGAAAAACATTTTTTAACCTTTTAAAATCTTAGCTGCTTTTGAAGTAATTTTTTAAGATACAAAGTAATGGGTTTAATTATGGCATTTTATGTCTATATGTTTCTGTTGTGCTGTTCTAATTTCTCCTGTTGTGATAAAACATTCCAACAAAAAGCAACTTTGGCTGGGAAAGGGTTCATTCGTCCCTTCAATTAAAAGTTACAGTGTAGCATTTCAAGAAAGTCCAGACACCAACTCAATCAGCTTTCACATCCACAGTCAGGAGCAAAGGGCGAGTAAATACAACAGTCCTCTCTTGCTTTTAGCTGGCTTTCTTCTCTCTGAATTGTTCAGAGAATTGCCTGGGGAATAGTGCCGCCCACAGGGGCTAGACCTTCCTACATTAATTAATAATCAAGACAATATCCTACAGACATGAGCAAAGGCCAACGTGATAACATAACTCTCCAGATGATTCTAGATTGTGTTAAGTACACACACACACACACACACACACACACACACACACACACACATCCAAAAAGGAAACACACATACACACACACACACACACACACCCAAAAAGGAAACACACACACACACACACACACACACACACACACACACACACACCAACACGAACAACACACACACACAAACACACACCAC